ATACATGAGGGTATAACGTTGGTGCTAACGTATTTGGGGGGACCACGCGGCGCGCGGCGAGCGATGACTCATCTGCTCTTCCGTTTCTTCCTCGGCGAGATAACGTTCAAAAGAGCCAAGAGCGTTCAAAGAGAGTAAAGAGTTGGTTACCAGCATACTTGAAGCGCGAATCTAGCACTTATTCCGAATAAAACAATCACGATTCACCGGGAACTTGTTGAGAAATCATACAGAAGCGGAAAACAAATGGACTTCGAGTAACAAGCTGAAGTGAATTGGTGAGGTGAAATTGTGATTCTATTGTGAGGAAACCGCTCAAGATTCAATTTCTGCGATTTGATAGTGAGCTATTGGAGTAGATTTCTCTTTGGATTCTGCGGACCATCCAATTTTATTAATAGTGTCACTTTTACGCAAACGAATGGGTTCACCTAGGCCGGAATTCATTCCCTTGTAGTTTAGGCAAGAATCTTCCAGCCTACTATTGTTTCTTCGCACTTTTCAGCATTAACTGTTTTACCTTTTGAATATAGCACCTTAGGGCGGTGTTATATTCATGTCCTAAACATGAAATTACCTCTATTTTGCCGAGTAGGGAGCAGAAGAGCAGATGAGTCATCGCTCGCCGCGCGCCGCGTGGTCCCCCCCCCCCAAATACGTTAGCACCATAACGTTTTCACCTGTTGATGTTGCGTAAAATGATTAGTGTTTTGGTTCCTAGGTGAGTTTCTTTCTGTTTCTTTTTTTTCTTGAACTTGACTTGTAAATTATAAATGTTTTGGAAGTTGGAACAGTTCAGACGATAGGAATTTTAAGGCGCTTGCATAAATTGAAACAATAAAAACAAAAGAAAAAAGAAGCTCACCCAGGAAATGGAGTTGGCCTTATCCCGACCTAAAAAGAAGTGAAACCTCCTTACCTCATATTCCAGATCCGCTTATGTATAGAAAGTCGTAAGTTATCAGTTAGCCATTATTAAGAGAAAAGAAGGTCTCACAAGTTGGATTTCCTTATTTATCAAGCGAGCAGTCCATATTGGGCGCGCTCTGCCACGTACCGACGATCGCCGAGGCCGTCGCGATCGCCGCTGCTGTCGCAGAGTATGAACGCTGCCTTACAAGCACACGGTATTTGCAGTGTCGCTCACGCGACGTCGCGTGATCCTTACGGCCCTCTTCCCTGAATAAATCTCATCTCCGGATCTCCGGATGGGGAGAGAGATTGGTTCGCTTGGACGAGACC